GAGATCATATCTTCTACAAATCTGCAAATGAAGTTTTTTTGGTTTGGTTTTTTGTTTGTTTGTTTTTGCCTTATTGCACTAACTGGCACCTCCGAATTAACACGAAAGATGAGAGCAGACATCATTGCCTTGTACCTGACCTTAGAAGGTGTACTATTCAGTTTTCATACTTTAGTATTAGCTGTAGGTTTTTCACAGACACCTTTGTTCAGGCTGAAGAAGTTCCGTTCTATTCCTAATTTTCTAGAATTTCTGTCACGAATAGGAGTTGTGTACTATCAAAATAACTTTTTCTGTGTCAACTGAAATGATATGTTTTTTCCTTTTAATTTGTGAAAATGGTGAATTACATGGACTGATTTTTCAAATGTTAAATTAATCTTGCATTCCTGTTATAAATTCCACTTAGTCATGATGTATTATCCTTTTCATGTACTGCTGGATTTCATGTGTAAAAATCTTAAGAATTTGTGTGTCTATGTTTATGAGGAATAACAATCTGTAGTTTTCTCTTTTTATGTCTGTAATTTTGATATAAAGGTAATGCTGGCCTTATAAAACCAGGTGAAAAGTATCCCCTCCACTTCTATTTTCTGGAAAGTTTATACAGTGTTGTTATTTCTTCCTTAAATGGTTGACAGAACTTCCAGTGAAGCCATCTGTGCCTGGAGTTTTCTTTGTGGGAAGGTTTTCAACTACAAACTCAATTTCTTCAAAATATATACGGTTATTCATGTTATCCTTTTTTTTTTTTTTAACCTATTTCTTTTTAAGTAAGCTTTGGTATAACAGTTTGTATCCTTTAGAGAATCTGTCCATTTCATTGAAGTTGCTAAATGTGTAGTGATAACCTTACTCATTTATCTTTTTAACATCTGTAGATGCTGTGATTATGTACCCTCTTTCATTCCTGATCATGGTAACTTGCAACTTCTCTCCTATCAAATGCTTTCTCTCCTAATATACCCATTCGATGCTATAAATTTCCTCTAAGTACTGTATCCTACCCATTTTAATATAGTACCTATTTATTTTCATTAAGTTAAAAATATTCTCTAGTTTCTCTTGTGATTTCTTCTTATGGATTACTTAGTAGTGTGTTATTTAATTTCTAGATATTTGGGGATTTCCCAGATATATTTCTGTTGTTTATTTATAAATTCTATTGTGTTCAGAGAACATACTTTGTATTATTTCAATGCTCCACATTTCCTGAAACTTTTGTTTATACTCCAGAATGTGGTCTATATCAGTGAAATGTATTCAGTGCATTCATACACTTGAAAGGAAAGTGCATTCTGCTGTTACTAGATGAAATGACCCATAAATTTCAATGAGGGATTGAGGTATTGTTCGTGTCTTTCTAAATCCTTACTGATTTGCTGTTTCTTCTCTCAGTTTAGAGAGGAATGTTGAAATCTATAACTGTAATTTGTATTTTTTCCTTTCAGGTTTGTCTATTTTTGCTTTATGTCTGTTGCAGCTCAATTATTAGGTATGTATATATTTAGGACTGTTATATCCTCTTTAATTAAATAATTCAATTATGAAATGCCCATTCCTTACTGCAGGTAATATCCTTTGCTCTGAAATACACTTTGCCTCATATTAATACAGCCATTCCAGCTTTCTTTTGATAAATGTTCCATTCTTTTTACTTTTGCCCAAAAGTGTCCTTACATTTAAAATGGATTTCTTGTAGACAGTATATAACAGTTGGGTCCTTTTTATCCAATCTCCCAATCTCTGCCCTTTAACTCGGCTTCTTTAAACATTTTACATCTGATGCAATTATTGATATGGTAGGTTTTTCAAAAAAAAATTTTCTTTATTAACGTGTATACCTCATGTACACATGGGAGAAAACTCAGATAAATGGATAGCTAGCATAGATCTATATATGGTAACCTTTAATCTACTATCTTGCTATTCAAATTCTATTTGTTTCATTTTTTCCTGCCTCTTTTTGACTATTTTATCTTTCCTACTTGTATATTTGCAAAACCTCTTTGTTTTCTTTGTTCTCATTGCTTATTCTAAGGTTTACAATATACACCTTTAATTTATCTTACCCTATTTTCAAAGAGCATTTTACATCATAGGTAGTATATGAACCTTAGATGAGTATACAGTGGACCTGTGAATTGTATAGGCCCATGGGTTTGAACTGTGTGGGTCCACTTTCATGTGGATTCAACTAAATGCAAATCAAAAATATAGTATTCATGGGATGTAAAACCCATGTATTACAGAGGGCCAACTTTTTGTATATGCAGATTCCACAGGGCTGGGGGACTTGAGTATGCATGAATTTTGGTATACTTGGGGGATCATGGAACCTATCCCCTGAGTGTACTGAGGGGGGACTAGACTTGTGTTTCCCCCTCTCATTATTTATGCCAATAAAGCTACTTTTGTATTTACTCTAAATAATAAATTATTTTTTATATCAGTGATCTTCAAAAGAGACTAAGATATGGGGAAATGTCTTTATATTTACTCATGTATTTACCACTTATTCCTCACTTCTTTTTGTAGAACTGAGATTTCATCTGCTATCACTTTTCTTTTGCCTGGAAAAGTTTATTTTAGTATCTCTTAGCATATATGTACTAGTTTTTAATTCCTATGCATCCCTCCTTTTTTTTGGTCTGTAAAGATGTTTAATTTAGGGCCGGGCGCAGTGGCTCACACCTGTAATCCCAGCACTTTGGGAGGCTGAGGCAGGCAGATCACCTGAGGTCCAGAGATCGAGACCAGCCTGACCAACATGGAGAAATCCCGTCTCTACTAAAACTACAAAATTAGCCAAGCGTGGTGGCGCATGCCTGCAATCCCAGTTACTCTGGAGGCTGAGGCAGGAGAATGTCTTGAACCAGGGAGGTGGATGTTGCTGTGAGCCGAGATCGCACCATTGCACTCCAGTCTGGGCAACAAGAGCGAAACTCCGTCTCAAAAAAACAAACAAACAAACAAACAAACAAAAACAACTTTAATTTAGGAAGGATATTTTTGCTAAGTAAAGGACATTGGGTTGACATTTTCCTTCATTACTTTAAAGATTTTGCTCAATTCTCTGACTTAACAGCTTTTTGATGAGAACCATGCAGTCATTCTTATCTCTGTTCCTCTGTATGTAATATGTCATTTTGCCTCTGATCATCTTTAAGATTTTCTAAGGTACTGGTTTTTAGCAAATTGATTATGATGTGCCTTGGGCAAGATTTTCTTTGTTTCTTCTATTTGGGGTTTACTGAACTTCTTGGATCTGTGAGTTTATAGTTTTGTGGCAGACAACTTCTAAAACAGCTCCCAAAGATTTCTGCCTCATAGTATTCATGCCTTCATGTAATCGCTATCCCTTCAGTGTTGACTAATCCCATTAACTTGCTTTAACGAACAGAAAATGGCAAAAATGACAGGTCAACACTTCTGAGATGAGGTGAAAAAAGGACTAGTGTCTTGCTTGCATTCTCTCTTTGGCACTTCTTGCTTGTTCATTCTAATGAAGTTAGCTGCCATGTTGTGAGCTGCCCTACGGAGAGACCTATGTGGTCCAGAATTGTGGGCAGCCTGTGGCCAACAGCCAATGAAGAAGCCAAGGCCCTCAGGCCAACAACCCACAAGGAACTAAACCCTGCCAATAACCATAAGTGAGCCTGAAAGCAGTTTCCCTCAGTCAAGCCCTGATATTATTGCAGCCTCAGCTGATACCTTGATTGTAGCCATGTGAAGAGTCCCTGAACCAGAGCGCCCAGCTGAGCCATGCAGAGAAACTGGGACATAATGGATGTTTTGTTTAAGCCGCCAATTTTTGGAATAATGTTTTAGGTAGCAATACATAACTAACACAGTTTTCATCAAATGTGGAAACATTTTGTCTAAGATTGTTTCAACTCTTTTTCCTCTCACATCTCCTGGGGACTCCATTTACAAATATATAAACACTATTTGATCTTGTCTCACATTATCTGTTGCTGTTTTCCTTTTTGCCTTTTTTTCCACTTTTTTCTCTGTGCCTTATTTTGGATAGTTTCTATTGTCACGGCATCAAGGTTGCTAATGCTTTCTTCTACAGCGTGTGTTTCTCTTCTCCAGAAATATTATGTTTCTCTTTCTCTCTCTTTTTAAAGACATGTTCCATGTCTCGCTCATGTTCATGTTTTCCTTTACTTTCTTGATCACATGTGGCATTCATAGTAGCTACCTAAGAGAAAAAATTTTATTTTCTTCTTTCCAGTGCCTGTTGTTCAATGTCTGAAAACCACTATTTTGTGGGGTTTTAAAATTCCAGTTTTAGGAGGGAGGGTAAACCTGATTACTGTTGCTCTCTCTTGGCCGAAAGCCTATTATTTCTTTATAAAAGCTCTCCAAGTGATTCTAATGTACAGCTTTCAGACTCAGTGGGTTAGTAGCTTTGATTTTCTTAAAAGAAAATTTCTTTCCAGACAGCACACATTTTTTTCTGAGCTGATTAGTCTTGATGGATTTAAAAGCTTGTATCTCAAAGTGCTACATCATAATTAGCTAATATCAAAGAAGCTTTTCACTAAAAGAAATGCCCAATATTACTTGGCAAAGAAACTGAGAAACCATTATTCTGTGGAAGAAAGTTTCATATGGAAACATTTAAACTGAAGTATCTGATTATAAGGTGACACAAAGTAATGTTCTAAGGCATGGAGGTAGGAATAATAATGTGGAAAAATAATCTTCCTGAGGCCAAAGGAAACAGAAAAACACTTATAGAAACCATTCACAAAAAGCATGTCCAATAGGAACAATATAGACAACCATCAGTTTTATAAAGTCAAATATTCACAGAATTTTACTAGTGTAACTTTCAAACTCATGAACCTTGTAAACTCAGTAAAAATGCAAATACAAATAAATGAAACTTCACATAGTAAAAAATAAACAAGATTTTCTTCAGTACCAGCAAATTTCATTTCTATGTAGAGGTTTCTTCCCATCTATCCAGATATCCTTCTGAAACTTACCCTTTTCCAAGTAAGAACGTGGAGCCCACGGCGGGTCCTCTTCAGCATAAGGATCACTATACTCAACCACAGCAGCTTCCTCCTCTTCGTAATCTTCTGGAGGGGGAGGAGGTGGGGGAGACTCATCAAAGACTGGTTCTTCCACAGGAGGCGGTGGAGGTGGCGCATCTGAAACTAAGAACGTATCAGGCTGACAACAAAACTATACGTTATATGAAGTTCAGTATTTCCTATCCAAGCTTCTGGGTTCATGGAATATAAACCTAGACTTGAAAATAAATATAATATTCCTTCAAAAAATGAATGAGCAAGAGAAATCTTCCCACCAACTATAATGTTCTAGAGCTCCAAGTATGACGTTCTCCTTCTCTTGCCCTTGGATTAGTGCTAATGGATACTGAATAAAGTTTAGACAAAATAATTACTAACTGAGCCTCTGGAACCTGTTTATACTAATACAGATCCTCTTGTTAAAGAGATCAGTACGGCCAGGAGCGGTGGCTTGCGCCTGTAATCCTAGCACTTTGGGAGGCCGAGGTGGGCAGATCACCTGTGGTCAGAAGTTCGAGATCAGCCTGGGCAACATGGTGAAATCCTGTCTCTACTAAAAATACAAAAATTAGCCGCACATGGTCATGGGCGCCCATAATCCCAGCTACTCAGGAGGCCAAGGCACGAGAATCACTTGAACTGGGGAGGTGGAGGCTGCAGTGAGTCGAGATCACGCCACTCCAGCCTCGGTCATAGAGCAAGACTGCATCTCAAAAACAACAACAGCAAAAAAAAAAAAAAAAAAAATCAAAAAAGCGGGGATCGGTACAATACAGCTGAGCTTTACACTGTATTCAAGGATAAGTTATCAGAAATACTAACAATGAAAACCATATTTCACAAATTTTTAAAATATTTTTTCACTTAAATGAGTCCAGGGAATAGTAAAATTTTAGTAACCCACTACTTTCCTCTTAATGAATTTTTCTAAAATAGCATTTTACCAAATTCAAGAGGAAAAAAAATCATCAACAAACTTGGGTTACTTCATCTATGAAGATGTTTGTTTATAGAATTTCTTCTAATTCCGACTATCATCCAGAATTTCTTCAGGCTAAATGTCCAAGTGTACTATCAGAGTAATTTAAAATATCTCCCATGGAGATCTGCCTCCACAGCTTGCATGTCAATATATAGTAACATCAGAAAGATTATCTTCAAACTCAGCTACTTTAAGCTTTCAAAATGGTTGGTACATACTTGAGCACAGCTGAACAGAAGGAAATGAATAAACCTGTGTTTATCAGCTCCCCAGGTTTAATGAACGGCACTAATTCTTATTTATGAGGTACAAGTATAGTTCCCATGTGATTCTCTATGCAATCCAATGTATTTAGTATTTTTAAATCTAAGCCTATCAATTGAATTAAATGGATTTTTTTTTTTTTTTTTTTTTTTTTTTTTTTGAGACGGAGTCTTGCTCTGAAACCCAGGCTGGAGTGCAGTGGTGCAACCTTGGCTCACTACAAGCTCCGCCTCCCGGGTTCACGCCATTCTCCTGCCTCAGCCTCCCAAGTAGCTGGGACTATAGGTGCCCGCCACCACGCCCGGCTAATTTTTTGTATTTTTAGTACAGATGAGGTTTCACTGTGTTAGCCAGGATGGTCTCGATCTCCTGACCTCGTGATCCGCCCACGTCAGCCTCCCAAAGTGCTGGGATTACAGGTGTGAGCCACCGTGCCTGGCGAATTAAATGGATTTTCGAAGACTGCTGATGCCTGGTGGGAGCCAGTCACATCAACACCATGCTGTCTCTATCAGTATTCTTCCCGTCTGCTGTGCCCCTCTATACTGATCTACTTTATAAACTTTAAAACTTCAGTCATTAAATAGAATGTCTTTCATCCAAATAGTTTTTATTAATAAACAAAGGATATAGATATGTGATTTACCATATACTTGGGTGAGAAAGAGCAATTTATCCTATTTCCATTTGTAAGATAAAAAGACTTTAAACAATTGCACAGAACCATAGATCCAAAGGAACTTTCAAAACAATAACCTTGAGAAATGTCACTACAAAATTACTCAAAGATGTTGCCATTGGTCATTTTTACTTTTCTTGTAACTGCCAGTTTAATAAGCTACCACTTTTGACTTAAAATGTTCCAATTACTCAGCTAGCCCTTTGTAATGCATTATTTCATTTCATCTTTACATTGGGAGGTGGTATTTTTCATTTTATAGATGTGGAAACTGGCTTTCCAAGATTAAGTATTCCGACAGCAAGTAAGTGGAAAAGCACCTGAACTCCAATGCCTGTTATCTTAAAAGCTACACTACTATGGGCTGAGATAAATTTTAAAATCTTCAAGTCATGCTTCATTAGTATTTATTCAACAAACATTAACTAATATGGCTGGATATTATGCTCAGCATTGAGAAAAGGGCAGTAGGCAAAAGTCATGAAGACACGAACGACCAAACCTTCATTTACAATTGAGTGTAGTGTGTGCTTTAAGATACTACAGGAGCACACAGCATAAACCACACTTGTTATGTGGGTGAGGAAAGGCTTCCTGAAACCTGAAGGAAGAGTAAGAGTTAATGGGGAGGGAGCGGGGAGGGTAGGATGGTGTAGGGATTGATATTTCATGTCAGATATAAAGAATAAAACAAGGCCAGGTGGGGAGGCTCACGCCTGTAATCCCAGCACTTTGGGAGGCTGAGGCAGGTGGATCACTTGAGCTCGGGAGTTCAAGACCAGCCTGGCCAATATGGCGAAACCCCGTTTCTACTAAAAATACAAAAATTAGCCGCATGTGGTGGCGCACACGTGTAATCTTAGCTACTCGCGAGGCTGAGGCACGAGAATCACTTGAACCCAAGAGGGGAAGGTGGCAGTGAGCCAAGATCACACCACTGTACTCCAACCTGGGTGACAGAGTGAGTCTGTCTCAAAAAAAAAAAAAAAAAAAGGACAATACAAGTAGGAAGGTAAGAAAGCAAGAAACTTTCAAAGAACTGTCCAAAATTCAGTAGCCAGAGGCATGAGGAAGTTGAAGAGGATGAGGAAGGAAGGGCCTTACAGCAGTTTGGACTCTATCCAAAGAGCCATGGGGAGCCACAGAAAGATTTTAAGGTGAATAACAGGGTCATAGCTGTACTTCTTACCCCAGTATAACTAGGTCACTATAACTGGTTTCAAATTATTCCAGACTTCTTCCAAACATTAAACTTAATGCACAGTATTTGCTACCACGGAATATCTTCGAAATAATATACCTGGAAAGCTTTGAAGATAATTACAAAGAATTATCTTTGAAGACATACCAAAAAAAAGTATATATCTTCCCAAGGTGAATGTTTTTTAAAGAGTTTAAAGACTTAAACACTATTTGAATGTTTAAGTCCTGCCACGTCTGTAAAATTAGTCACAGCACACCTCATACACAATTTTTTAATACATAGTGTACATGAGAAACGTATATGATTGTAGGAAGAGATGAAAAAGACTAATCTAAAAGGCAATCAACTGTGACAGGGTGGCCAAATTAGGGAATGACTTTTTAAAATATGGGTAGTGCTGCTGTAATAATGTTTTGCAGTCATCTACTTAAGACATTTCTAAGTCTTAAATTGATACTCATGCACTTTACTATTAAATTAAAACAATACTTCTTAGGTTTGGTTCATGAAACATTTTGCTGTTTCTACAAAGTTTGCAGCTTTCACTGGTGACTGGCGAAAACCAATGACATCCTGCTTTAAACCCTATTCAACTTTACAGTCTCATTTTTTGCTAAGAAAATGACACTTAGGCCGGGCACGGTAGCTCAAGCCTGTAATCCCAGCACTTTGGGAGGCCGAGATGGGCGGATCACGAGGTCAGGAGATCGAGACCATCCTGGCTAACACGGTGAA